TCTATGTAATTAGTTGGCTAGGACTGATCAAATGGGCCAACAATGGCCAGCTTTTATTGTTTGGACCTGTAGGTTAATATTGTCAGGGTTCTGCCCTCTGTTTAGGTTTATTTTTAGTCTCTTTGTAATTCTGTGTCTTTGTAGTTGTTTTCTGGCAGTGTTGTGTTTTCTGGTTACTCTCTGTTTCCCCCTTGTGCCGGTTTCCTTTCCCCTTGGCACCCTTCTAGTTACTTCTTTCCACATCTGCTCCATATCAGCTCATTATTCCATTCTTTCCTCTGTTCCCCATATATACACCACTCTGCAGTTCCTCATTGCTGGTTTCTTGTTTTTTTTGTTGCTTTGTTGTTACTTGGCTTCCTGCGTGTGTTTCTCCCTGGCATCTTCTTTTTTTGTCTTTCAGTATTTTGTATTCTTGCCCCTGTTTGCCTTTTGATATTTCATTAAATTAGCAAAACTCATCTCTGCATTTGGGTCCTCAAACAACCTCCACCAAACCTTGACAAATATGGATAATTTTCTATCTATTTCTCTTGGCTTACTGTAATAAAGACATGGACTGGTTGATTTTAAAAGGACATTATCTTTGTTTGGAGAGATTGTCTGGAAGTTGTGATTACTAAAAAACGTTTGTTATATGTCTCTTCAACTTTTCCTACATTGATATTCACATGGTTTTGAGCGCTACCCTGCTGGAGGACCAACAGAACACCCAATTTCAGACTTTTGGAAAAATACATAAAATTTCTATCTTTAATTTCTTTATTTTATGACACAGTGTACTCTTAACTATGTTCCTAAGACTTTCCACATGTCCTTATTTTATATTCTCTTAGAGTTTAATGACTAAAGCGTAACTTATCAAATCAAACTATTTGCTTCCAGGGACAGTCTCGGTAGAGTTTAACAATATCATTGAACTTATATTTGTAATGCTGTACACAAAAACCTAGTTGGCATATAGATAAGGTAGTCATAGTGATCCCAAAATGGCAGTCATTGCTGCAGTCCTACTGATCTGCGGACTGTGTGTATTGGTACAAATAAATATGAGTACTTGACGTAACCTTACTGACAGGAATTGTCTGATTAAAATCAGAATTTAATGCAAGGCTGACTATAAGGCTGAGCAATATGGCTTAAAAACCTAATCTGCGATTTTTTTTTTTACCACCAAATCTGAGTTCATATTTAAGAACAAAGAATGTTGAACAGATTCCACTAAGAGCTATGGAAGCTGAAAGAATTCCATAGGTGGAAAAGAATCTAGATTTTCCAAAAATGTAAATCCACATAAAGGGAAAAATACATTTATTGATACATTAATCACCCAGCTCTAGCTGGTGGTTTCAAAAAGACCATGCAAAATATTTGACAACCTCAGCATAGCAACTGCACAAATATTCTCAAAGCCAGCAAAATGTCTATAAACTGATTCTACAAAGTTTTATTTAAAATTCAATTTATTTCAATTCATTTTGAACTGTTTTTCACAATTTACTTGAAAATATTTTATGATTATGTGTTTTTTATATCTACTTATGGCTTCATCATTTTACTTTAAAAGATTATAGTTGGTATTAATCACCAAAACATGACCTGTGGTCAGGGAAGACAAGTGCAACAGCAAACGAGGCTTAAAATGGATGGCAGCCAGACATTCCCCTCAGTGTTTTTAAAGACTTTTCGACTCCTATCCAGGAGTATTTATTCTATTCTGTCACCTCGCACCAGAGCAATCTGCATTTAAGCAACCAATTGAAGCCTGTTTTGTGGTTGCCATGACCCACATGACTGAAAATGTGCACAGACTGGTTCAATATGTTTCTGCCAGAAGTATGAATAACTCTGGGATATGCCTTATACATTATATTTTTAATGCATGAATATAAGAGCTTACTACAAAGCTAAATTAGTTAATATTTCTTAATTCTATGTATATATACATGTTTGACATTTTGACCTTCACAAGTCTCCATTTAAATGCCTCAACAATCATAGGTCTAGATAAAAAATCAGCAAAATCAGGAGAGTTACAATATTTCATGATTATAGATGCCATTGGATTTTTATGCCATATAAAGATCACCTTCTGTTTCCACAGTTCTGAATAACAAAGGAATATTTAAGTCAAATGATAAAATTTGAAGTTGTGAATAAAAAATGCATTACACCTCTAGTCTGGTGGGTGATGGTAAAAAGGAAACCTAATGTATCACTAGCTGTTTCCTCCACCACGATAGTGTGAAACACTGGGCTCTTAACCTGTACAAATAGACAGTAAAACTCTTAGGCCATTTGATTATTATTGATTTTATTTCTTGAGGACCTCTAACAGTTGTCCCGCCATCATACGTGAAACATTAGTGGATCATTCATTTCCGAATATAGGCTCCGGCTGTCTTGTAAGGCATTTGGGTTAAATAAGATTATCCCTTTATAAAGCTTCTACTCAATCTCAGCCAAACAAATTAGCTCAGTGACAAATGAAACACTGACATAAAGAAAAAATATGACTTTCACCTTCACCCACAGCAGGACCTTTCATTTAAAGGAGTGTGGACCTTAACGTTGAATATGCTCAGTAAAAATTAGATACACCCAGAACTTTACAAAATTCCAGGTTATGTGTAAAGTCTCGACAATGGGGCCTTATGCTTCTTAAGGGCTTCAGTCTGAACTATGCCTACAAGGTCTGAAGGTTTTCTCTGAAACCTATTCCGTGAGGAAATGCATTATTCCTCCACCAAAGATGCCATGGGACCATAGTATGGTGCAAGTCCAGCTGCTTAATAACAGCCAAATTATTCAAAGTAGAAGCAGCAGCAGGGTTGGAGGAATATTTCAGGATCTATATTTAGACCCCAGAGTGAAGCTCCTCACCCTAACAGCCTCGGCTTGTGTGCGATGCACAGGGGATGCATGCAAATGTACCAGGGTGGAGATCAGTCTGGTGTTTCTGCATAGCACCGTGCAAGAAGATGCTTTCTCTCCTGCATCATCGAGCAGAGACATTAAATTATCAAAACGAGATCAGTCATGGAGACCATTACTGCAGAACAGATCAAACCGAATCCCGACGTGCTCACTCCACAGATCTGACTTAATCTACAAAGTCAAGCACAACCCTTTACAAGCTTTCTATTTTTAGCAGCCGCTGCCATCACTACACCAGCTGGGTACAGAAATATCTACTTTTCATTCATTTGCTGAGCAATAACCTGGTTTCTAGGCTCACTTTCATCCTGCAAATCTTAAAACATTATTACTTTCCAGGACCTTGTCGCAGCAAATTGCATTGATTAGCTCTAAATCAGCTGGCTTTAATTAAGTTTACTTTGTATCGCTTCACAAGGCGTACAGCTCTGCATGATTGCAACTAAATTGCAATTATCCATTTCCCTGAGCACCAAAGAGGAGGATATATTGGTGGCTCAAGGTAAATCAATGGGTTCGTGGGTGTTCTGGGGGAGCCTAATCATCTAAAGGAGTGATAAAGTTACACAGAAGTTCAGCTGGAAATATAACTGACTGACACAAATTGATTTGAGTCTGTGCGGTGACTGATATGCAACAGACAGCCTATCCATAGATCAGGTTTTAAAACATGAACCATTACATTTTGCTTAGGTTTAATCAGGCCTTTAGCAGTTTTACTCCATAAGTTTAACATTGGCCTCCTTTCTCCTTTTTGATGTTTTGGGGTCAATGTCCTGTAAAAACTGGTACCATGTAAATAATCTGAATTAAAGCTAAAGAATTTGCAAAAGATGCTTTTAAAATCATTGGTGTTTTATCAACGCAATGCAACCAACAACCCCTCAGCATGAACTAGAAAACATATAAAGTTGGGAAAAAGCAGATTTCTTAGCCTTTTTTACCAAATACTTGTTTCCCCTTGGGTTACACCCTTTGCTGACCTTCTAGAATAGCGAGAGAGAATAATTGGGTGTGGCTGACATGCTGCGGCTATACTTAAATAATTAAAACACCTCCTGGATTAAAGAGTTTCTAATGTATCAAAATACACAGAGGGAAAGAAACAGTGTGATTAACTGCAGAGCAGCATGTGAGGCTCTCGGACAGATGGCGACTTAATGGTGTAAATTTGGCAGGGGGTCACCAACAAGCTGCAGGATGTTTGCTTTTGACTCTCCTGTTTTCTCATACTCTGTCGCTGCTTGTAAACAGAATCAGACATGAATTAAAAACCTGAGTTATAAGATGAATCACACTGTACAAGTGGTCAGAAAAGTCAGAAATAGTTTGTGTTGCTGAGGTTGCAGTGACCTCCAAAAAAGTCTCTTTGTTCTTTATCAAATATCAAACAGACAACTCTCTGAATACAACAAAAAAGTGCATAGGAAGTAATGTACTTTTTAGTGATATGGTGAAAATCTTGTACGGTATGTCCTTCTCTATAACTATTGGAAAAGTCTTAGTTGGCATTACAACCAAAACTTTTTAAGAAGTCCTTACCATCATCCTAACATTTAGCTCCCTTCACAGACTGTATATCACATTCATTACCTGGTTTCCAAATCGAAGCCTCCCCGAATTTGTAATTTTGATTCCAGTCAGAATTAAATTCAAACATTACATTAAACAGTGGTAAAAAATAAAATTGTGGATTAATTCTTAATAGCATTTATGAATTAACTTTGTTGTGGTAATTACGTGGCACACTAATGGCAAACGCCGTTCATAATGTGGTATGCTGCAGGATTCAAACACAGATGGGAGGAAGGCAGAAAGCTGTAAACGGAATCTAATCATAAAACACAATTGCTCAGTATTCTGGTATAAAATGTTTTTATTCTGGCATCCATAACACCATTCTGTTATGCTCATTGGTTTATTTTGTAAATCTCTGTTCAATTTAAATTGTTTTCAGGTACCACCATTGCAGCTATCCACATGTTAATAATCTTGATTAAAAATTAATACAAACATCAATTAGCTGAATTCAAAATACAACTTATCAGCACAGAGTAACTTACCGGGAAGTACAGAAGGATGGCTCCACAGAGAATTGCCTCCAGCAGGACGAGACCTGACGCTCTGATGCTCTGCCAAAACAAAAAGATGATGCAGGTTTTTGAAAGTAAGTACAATAAAAATACTTAAGCAACAGCATTTATTTGGCTGTACCCGTGGAACTACAGTGAAAAGGAAAAATCTGTTGGGACACTTCTCTCCGATGGAGTTTGATATTAATTTTAATTTAAACAGAACAGGAAAAACATATATACCACATTTTACTTTGAGAATGCAGCAACAAAACATTATTAGATTGATAAAAACTAGATGTTTGGTTTGGTAACAATCTGTAGTATTGTGGAATCAGATAAGTCATGTAGAGCAGTGCTATTATAATATATACAAATTACATTGCATCTGGACAGTGTTCACTACACTGTGCTTTTTTTTAATGGAGTGAATTCTTTCAGGATTCACTGTAAATCCAAAAATCATCTCCATTTCTATAAATGATGGGCTTTGTTATTCAGTGTTATCACATTGTTGCTAGTTACTGTGGTTTTCGAACCCACTGGGTCGACTGTGACACGTTTTAAAGCATTTACATCTAATAATTCAGAATGCATGAAAATTACACCGGTAAAATTTTACAAATATAGACATGTTACACATGGTTGGAAAGCTTAGATTCTCCTCAATTCAACCACCAAGTTAATTTTATGGGCACACAAGCAGGCACAATAAACACAGATATAACAGTATGTCAAAATATAAACATGACAAAGCAGCCACAACAAGCAAGCATGTCTTTACTACTGCTGTTTAAAAAGGACCAGTTATTTTCACGATTAAAAAAACATATATACATATATATTCAGAAACTACAAAGTCTTAGCTTTCAAATAATGTATCACACATGTAATTTGGGCTTACAGTTCCTAAGTTATTTGCTTTTCCATTTGGGTATGCAAAATGGGCGACAATTTCCCAAAATGAGGTGGATGTTTGTACTCCATAGATGTGATTTCACACTGATGAATAACATTGACATAAAAATGGCTAAAAGTCAACCAAAAGCTACTGTAGCAGTGAAGCACTAATAAAAAAAAAGATTCCTCTCAGCTCATTTTGAAAATACCTGAACCCATGGTTTATTTAAAAAGATTAACCACCTTTAGAACCACAAGACATCAGGTAAAGTTTGTCAAATTAGACTGAAAAGTCATTATAAACATTTTTTGTGTTCTATTCAACTTCTTAGAAATCTCTAAAAGATAAAGTTCTCTGAAATATGGACAAACTGCCAATTCAGACTAGAAAATTGATTCCAAATCCAAGTATACATTTAATCTTCAATAAGAAATGTGTTTTGCATTAAACAAAAACTGCAAGCAAGATTTAAAAAAACAATTTCTTCTAACATATGCTGGAATGTTCATTTACAAAAGTAAGATAAAAGATAGGAAAAATTGACTTTATGCCTTTTTGATTTTTTTCATGAATAAAAACAAAGTTTAGAAAGATCTCTTCTTTTATTTCATTTATTTTTTTTGTCATTGCCGGGGTCACCATTTCTTACTTTATGCAACACTGCATCCTCTAATTGACAGGACGCCTTAGGGGTTTTCCAGGAAGTAACAAATGGCCATGCAACTAAATTGAAAATATATACTAAAGAAATTAAAACAGATTAGGGATTCTTGTATGATGTTAAATCAAAATAAAAAATACAAAGATCTTCATTTCATAGTCTGTAAGGAGGTTTAACATTACATTGTAAAATGTCCATCCGTATTTAATTGTAATAGTATTGCACATACTAAAGGAAATTGTACATGTGATTTAGTGCCTCTTATTTAGAATCTTTGAAGGTGAGGTTCAAAGTTTTTAGTTTAATACTAAACTTAAATTAAAACAGACTACAAAAGAAAACAACACTTTTTATAGTAGAAGGCATCATTGTGGGAAGAAGGCTTACTCAATGTACCGGTAGGTCTTTTTTATTTTTTATTTTGCTAGAACACGTGGTGTGTTTTTCTCTTAGAAGAGAATAGAAATCTCCTTCATTGTCCAACTTTGAATTTCGGTGTGTCAGAAACAAAGTAAATAGGCAAAGGAAGCCTACGGGTACACACAAGACTATAAAATATAAAAGGAACAAAAAGTTAAGAATAGACAGTACAGCAAAGGAATATTAAAGAGAAATGTACTCTGCTGTGCCCAGAGTATAACGCCTACCTTATTCCTGCGAAAGTGGTACACGAGGACCATGCTGATGAAGACAATCAGCATGCAGAGACACTGAAAGGACAGCACAGCCAAGCGAAGAGCACCGTCCTCTAATGCCACACAGGGAGAGTTGTCTTTACAGAAGGTACAGCCCTGTTGGCAAGGCAAGCAGTCACTAGGGGATCCTTCATCTTCACCAGGACCACCATCTTCAGCTTTTCCTTTTCTCCCAGGCTCTAACAAAGGAGAAGGAAAGATAACATTTGCACAAACAATAAGAAGTAAATCCAAAAAGTAACAACACCATTATTTTTTCACGTATTTATGAAGTGTCCATTTACTAGAATAGTCACAGTTGCCTTAGGAAATGTATATAAAGTAGGAAACTTCTAAAACTTTTAGGTGAAAATGTTTGCTCTTTGAATCATACTAAAGCTTGTGAGTGTCTTGGGCCAATTTCCAGTGGTGAAAAATGAGGAGCGGAGTATGTGCTTTGACAGGTTGACAGTTTATAGTAAGGTCTACACAGAGACAGTAGAGACTAATAAATCATGCATGTAGACTCCTCCACTGCAAGATAAACCTTTGGATGAACCTAAAATTCATGTTCAAGACTGAATGAACAGAGCAAACCAATGCATGTCAAGTACATAGAATCGCCACGCAAGGATCCGACCTAATACCTTAATGTCATAAAGCATCAGAGCTGACCACATCTTAATGCAGACACAGAAAACAAAGTTTTACCTCTCAGTCTTATACTTTCAGTACTCAAATGAGGTTTGATGAAAAAATATTGAAGACACTCTACCAATGAAATGTTAATGATAGCATCAGCTGTGGCAATTTGTCTTCATACAGCTTCATCACCGGAAAACTATTTACCAAAAAGGGTGATATTCAATAAATTAGAATATGCATTCTAAAGAGGTTAATTGGTTAAGATCACCATTTAAAGATAATAGCCTTGGTAGGCCAAGATTAACTGAGCACAAACAAAAAGACTACAATATGCCAAGCAGGAACATTTCAATATTATCTCAATGAGATGCATGTTTAACTTCCACCCAGTAGTTAATCCCAGCGGTAGGTTCAACGCAGTGAAATGGCTTCAGCAGGAGAGTGAAGGATGACTGCCTTGTTGGCTGACAGATGCCTGAACAAGCTGGCATTGAGAAACACCCACATTTTGAAAGCTGAATTGGAGTGTTTAAATCCAAGTGGATATTTGAGTTTAAAACCTGCAGTCTCAAGAAAAAGAATCCTAAATGATTATTTTTGGGGTCACACAAAGGTTGGTGCCTACCATAATTTCCATTGCAAACAAAAAAAAAATGCTATAGACACCCCCCATTGCTGCCCAAGTTTGATTAATCCACTATACCCACACTGAATCATTGGAAATTGTGGGCCGAGTAAGAAACTCTAAATTAACTTGGTGTATTTGAAGGAGTCTTAGGAGAAGTTGTGTATTTGAATGGCATTTGGGGAAGTGCTGTGACATATTTGGACTATAAATATGGCCTTCAAACGGTCCAGCCTCTAAATTAGGACACATCAAGTGCACACTCATGTTTTACATTGCCTATTGTGCTTCATTACTATCACTAGCATGGACAGAAATACGTGGCTTATAGCTGTGCTCCTTTTATTTTAAGTTTACAATAAGTTTTGTATCTAACGTGCCCTTCTTCTTCATTTTCCATTAGCTTTTTACTGACTGTTGTGTTACTCTCAGAGTTACATGGGACAAAGTGTGTTCCTTTTCCACTAAATACGGAACTTCTCTTTCTAAACACAGAACGATTCCGTTTTTCAAGGGACGGTTAGGAGTCCTGTAACCAATGGGAGAAAAATAGTGACCATCCTTCCAAACTATAAAGTCATTATAAAGTCCACTATATAGTCACCACTATAGATAGTGATTGAGGGAATAGGGGTCAGGGGTAAGGCATATGTTCAGACACAGCCTCCCCCATTTTTTGCTACCTGTCCAAAATTTGATTTGTATCACCTTAGCAAAAGGTGCTTATTCCTTTAAAAAATATTTTAAAGTTATGTACAGTATTGCCAGAGTTTAACTGCTTGTATTTCTTTTGGATTTTTTTCCAGGGAATACAAACTGGGGCAACAGCTGTTTTTAATTTCCCCTTGTTATTTATTGACTCTCCTGCTGTAGACTAGCAAAGCATCACTGAATAAATACGATTATCCTTCTTCGACCTTAGAAGGAGTCATTGACAATATGTCAACACAGGAGAAGCTGATCCATATGCGTGAACATGAGCAGTTAATATGCAGTTGCACAATATGATAAGCTCCTTTATGAGGTTTCCACAGTGAGATTTGGGGACAAAGGGTTAATTTTTTGGAGACTATATGGGGGCTTGGTATGGATACATTGAAAATGATCAAATTGCCGTTATTTAGAACAGAAAAGAAATATCCTGCTGCTGCTAAAGTAATATGCTTCAAATAGTACATGTTGGGATTTTATACATAGAGTAGCAGTGGAAATAGTATGTTAGATTTCTTTTGTTTTGGCCCTCTAGTGTTATGTCCTTTCAACGATTATATAGCTGCAAAATTAGGTTTAGTTGAGCCTCAGGCCCAGTTTACACAGATGTGAGATTAGAGGTATCTGCATATTTATTTTGTTGTTAAGGTAGTGTGTCCGCAGTGATCCAGCATTGTGGGAGACCATAGACAATCATTTTTAAAACCAGATCCTGAAGTGGAGCACTTTTAAAATGGCTCTTTACCACTATCTTGCTTTGTATCCTGCATGGGTCCAAATACTGTTTAATATGTAAAATGCTACATTTTTCACACGCGCCACATTGGCTTCAAACAGACTAGAGTTGTGTTCCTAAAGGTCTTGAGGATCGATGAGACATTCTAGGTCAAAGTTTAGAGAAGGTAATTTGGTTCTTGTTCTGAGCGTATACAAAACGAAATGTACACTCTGTGTATACAAAAAGGCCAATAAAAGCTGTCCAAGTCTAAAGTCTAAGACCTTGGAGTCTCCCATAAATGTTTTTTCTGCCTGGTGTCTTTGCCATGGTTTAATCATAAACTCTGACCCAAAGTGAAGCAGGTGAGGCCGTCGATAATATAGATGTTTTTTTTCGGTTTTCCATTGACCTTCAGTCTATATCACTGAAAGCACTCTTGCAGTTATTTTGACAGTATGGCTGCACCTGGAAAGCTCAATACTAAAAAGGTGCTTTAAACGTTTTAGGACAGATTGGTTCCGGGTATTTGGTTCTCGTCTTTTCTTGAATCGCTCTAAAGTGTTATAACGATATTCTTTTAGAGATTTTGTTGACAGTTTCTTGATTAAAGATGTGTGATCAGGCCTTGGTGTGGCCATCAAAAGTAAGCCAGATTTGTAAATGATTTAACAATGAAACTCTTCATAAAGCAATAATTTGTAAGAGATAAAACATTTATTCACCCCACTGTTCACATTTGCAGCCATCCTGTAATTGTCTGCTCCTCTTAGCTTATCTACTGTTGTTTTAATGTGACTTCATAAGACTAATGTGTGGATTTCTTTGTTATCTTTTTGGCTGATACACTATGGAGACAGTGTATTTGCAACTTTGGTATGCCTTGACGAAAGCAACAAGCCTTGTAAAAATATGCTTCTCTAGATAACCCTAAAGGCCAAATTTATGCTTTTGACGCATAGCCTCTGCAGCCATCAAATCTATCTCTATGTGTCAGACCTCATGCGGAACTGTGCAGACAAATAGCAGCTGTGATTGGTCCTTGGTATGCCTTTCCCGCTATCTGTGTGGTCATCGTTCTTGATTCAGTACCGGGACGTGCCATTTATAAAAACCGATGAACAATTACAATGAACAACTACGACGAAAAGATTCATTAAGGAGGTTTGAAAGTACAACCACTTGTACGATGCCTCAGACAAATTACATGGTGTGTGCCAAAACAAAGTTCTCGTGACCATCTGCCAAAGTTCCTTAGAGTTTTCGAATAGGGTCCCCCTTGCGCTTTGGTGGGAAACTGCTGTGTGTCCCTAGAAATTCCAGACCCCCGGTGCAGAAGCATACCAGCAAAACTGGTTCGCGACCAGACCCAAGCGACATTTGATGTGTACGGTTGCAGAAGTATAATCTGCCCTTTAGTCAAAACTACTTTACCTGGTTAAATAAATGGCCCCAAGTTTTTGTATTTATCAGTTCCAGATAGGTAGAACTTAGACAGAATGCAACCGGAAGCTGGAATGCCTGATTATAACTGCTAACACTATAGGAAATAGAAGAAATTGTTTAAAAATAAACTGAAGTAAAAAAAAGAGAACAGTTTTGTTTGTATAAAAATCCCTTGAGATGCCCATATGGTTGGATAGATAACAGATTTTAGACTTATGGAGCTTTGATGGGGGCTTTGTTTGAAGAATCTATTGTCTTAAAGATTTGGAGGGATTTTGCCTTTAAAAAGAACTGTCCTATTTTTTTTCAAAGCCCATCACTGATCGCTTCAAAGGGACTACTTATCTCCATAGCAATGACTCACCCATTGCATCATTGATTTGATGCTACTATGCTTGAGTAATGGTCATAGGAAGCTTGAATACAATAACTTTATATACACTGAATTGAGTAGGAATGACTTGCACTTCAAATTAGTGTCAAGGATGTTCCTTTGTGGATTAAAAGGCTTCATGTTCCCTCTATGTTGGGCCATAGTGCACATTATAGCTCTCCAAAAGGTTCTCCTTTCCTCTATTGTAGCAACGCTCAAGCAGAATTCAACACATCCATAACAACACGCAACAGACATCAAAATTACATGTTTTTGCCTTTTCTCAGGTATGAAATAAGACATCTTAAGGTAATTATGAGTTCATAAACTCTTTGCAAAAAGTTGGTGAAAAATATGGCAATAAAGGAGCCTGGAGGGAATTTAAGTGAGATGAAGCAGAACAGAAGTATGACTAAAATTCAAGCATGGCAGTGAAATTGAAAGAGGGCAGGTGGAAATCACCAGGGGTCTGTGTTTGCAAAAAGCCTCCTTTTTAATTAACTCACCACAGACAGAATAAACTGAAGATAGAAACTATCATTAAAAAGACATTTCCCATCTCAAACTGGATTAGGCTTCCAAGGTGGTGAGGCTGCATCCATTTTCAGACAAGACAGATAAACACCCATCATAAACTCCAATGAAAGGGAAAATGTGCTTCGTGTTTAATGTTTAACTATATTTT